GGGGGGGGGGAACCCACCCAACCAACACAAATCCAGTCATGACTTGCAAAAAGGACACAGGAAAAACCTACACAGTTCAGTGTAACATCAGGGATCCGACTGACACTTTACAGCTTTGTCTTTCCATTATTTTTTTCCAGCTCTCAATAAAAAATAATGCTTCTGAAGAAGTTAGCTTCCACTGAGTCTGACTTCCAGGATAATCAGCCACTGTGTCTCTTTAATATTGAAACACAATTTTACATTTACTTCGAAACTGTCTTTTTCCCAGACAGGGACAAGTCGTTCATAAAACTAAGTTCATTCTACAGGATCTTTACATCATGTCTAATCTCTCACCATCACTCAGTACCCTTTCCCATGCCTATAAAACTCCAGCTCTTTTTCTTTTCCAGACATCTACGATTAGAATGACACATGACACTTATTGTGCTTCCAAACTAAACTTATCCATGACTAGTCCACGATCATTTGTGCTTGTGCCAATATCACCTTTTACCTTAATGTCCTTTTCACCCTTTCTCATGCCTGCTTCTGACCTATCACATCTTTCAGCTTCTCTTTTGGTAAACTAAACCAGCTAACCTGCTTTGGTCTACAAATGAACTAAGTTCAGTTATGAATATCGTTTATTTCACTTGGAAGTTAAACTGTATCATGGCCCAACAGTTAAAAAGATAAATCATAGTAATTTTTTATCCAAGTAATTTTCCAGAGACAAAATGCAGGAGTCTCTTAACACACAAGGTGTGTAGTTCCAGAAAAATAACATACCTAATCATTAATTAAGTATGTTGAAAAGAGTGGTTAAATGAAAGCTATGTTTTAACAATATATGTTATATATGCAAATCTATATGCAGAAACTTTTAAGACCTAGAAGTCAGGGCTGTGTGCTCATGTATCCTTGAACTTCACACACCAGATCATTTCCACAGTTTGACTGGCATTATTGTAAAGATTGTTCATAAGGTAAAATATTGGCATAACATATGTATTAGGTTTACCATAAGGGATTCAGAACGGCTCGACACGTGGTCCTGCTGCACAGAACTGGCTCATACTGAATAGGAGGCAAGTCTGGCCGTTCCTTCAGAGGTGTGAAGAGGGCAGCGACCGGGACCACCATTCTTGTGGCTTCAAGACGACTTGAAGGCCAAACATTCCAGCTGAATCTAACTCCATCTCTGTCCTCATTCTCCTGGATAAATTCCAGGAAGGTTGTCATGGTCAACTTCTCTGTTTATCCCTAAAATAAAAGGATAACCATTAGCAGAATGTTGAAATGCAAAGCAATTTTATTCATTAAATACTGAATGCGCTTACTGACAGTCACACATTAAAATACCGTGAGTTATAATAATAAACACTGAATAGTGCTTCTTAAATCCTCAAAGCAATGCACAGAATTCCAAGGTGAAACAAAAAAGAAATTAAGACTCCTAAGATGCAGCAACTTTCTCAAAATAACAAATATTTGATCCATTGCAAGTTAAATACATAGTGTTAAAATAGTCCATATCCACATCGCTTCTTGACTTAAGCGACAAATTCCAGCAAGGAATACTACAACTAAAGCAGTAATTCTAGGGTAGGCCAGAGTAGAGAATATGCAGCACACTAACTATAAAAAAAAAATATTTGCTTACAAAAAAAAATACTGCTTTAAGGACTTCCACTAATCCATTTAGTTATTCATTATGTTCACTATTCAAGAATCATTCATTCTTACAAATCGTTTAATCCTCTAACTTCTTTTAAGAATCAAACAGCAGAAAGTGTTTCTCCTAAGTATACTTGTTTTATGTCTTCTGCTGCATCATATTTTGTAAAAGTTTTCTAACCGCATTTTTGGTAACTCATGATGCAGCCTACATTCAAAAGGGAAGGCGTAACAACACGATATTCCACAAGAGTACATTCCTTCATTGCCAGGAAATAACTTTGTAAGAAATACGAGTGCCGTATTCCACTACATTATCTACCAAGATACTAAAAAAATGCCTAAAGATGCCTTTTAGATGCCTAAAGCTTTCAAAATTTTCGGATGCAGTTACTCAGAAGCTGGAGCACTGAGGAACACCAACACATCTCAGAAGCTCAACAGGTACCTGTGAACATCTGGGAAAGCCACTAAGAAGCACACTCCCTCCCACCAACCCAAAACCCCTCAGCTATAAGCACACTGTTCCTGAATATCTGCCGCATGCTTCCCAGTATATTTTACAGTAGATAAAGTACAGGTTTTTCCGGCAACTAGAATATCTAAACTCCCACTGCCTAATAAATTAAGAATTTATTCTAAAAGTCTACATGAACCACTTCAGAGGTATCTGGGAAAATACCCCTAGTTCTCAGTTTAGACTGTACTAACTTAATGAACAGCTTTAAGAAATGCTGGAATCCTCCTGATTTGAGATTCAAATCAGGAATTCTCACAAGCACACTGACCTTCCTAGTCCTGCGATTACATATGCTAAGGGACACTCCTGGAAAACTCTATATTTATAAACACCTAGCTCTCTTTACTAAAATTATAATGGCATTGCAACTTTAGTTTCTATGACAGTTAAAAACATTCTAAGTTCTATTAAATTACAATATAACTTAATAGTTTTATTCTAATGCTGACTTCTAACACATTAACAACATCAATAAAACAAAAAAAGAAGCCTCAAATTTCACAGTTAGTATCGTTAGGAAATAATCAACTGTCAGCATATGATTAAAGCTACAAAAAAGAGGCTTGAAATTGTTCCTATGAAACACAGACTGACAGGAAAACTTGCCTCAGAAGTTTTCCACAGGTGCTATCACTATCACTGATCTCCACATCGCAACAGAAATACTCTCATAAGCAGTCTCCCAACATTTTAATGGGTATGCAGCAAATCTAGATGTCACGGCAATTGCAACACAGGGAGCCCCATGGGACTTTGTGCAGAAGGGCGCTTCCCCCATCGCTTTTACTCAAAGTGCTGCGAGGCCACGGGGCTGAATGAGGCCACGGGGCTTGAACGAGGCCAGTGGGCTGGTGGAAGCTGTCACATGAACTGAGGGATCAGAGACAGAAGAAAATTAAACTAAGAGAGGAAAGAACAGCCTGATATTTGGAAAGGATCTAGAATTTGAGAGACTCCTGCCCTAATATATCAAAATATCAGTGTTTTGTGAAGGAATATTATCTCTGAAAATGGGGTCTGCATGAGGCAACTATCTCAGCTGTACCCACAAACTGAATAATCTCTCCTTTTAAAATTGCCTCCCAAGAAAACAAGAGAAAATGGCAACTTGAAGGCCATTTCAGCCTATCCACAGGCATCTGCTACAAAGTCCAACAACCCCACCTCCATACACTGCCACGTGAACTCCCACTTTCTGTACTGGACTTAAAGTCTTTTCTCCACATTCTACTCCAGCGAGGTCTGAAATGGTTCTACGTGGATACTGTTTTTACCGCTCAGTTATTGCTCCTCAGAGGGCAATGTACAAACACCCGTGTGCAGTGACTAATAAAGTGCACATATATACATAAAAGATTTGCTGGATTTATTGAGTTAAATACTGTTACTTTCTAGTAAAATATGTATTTCCTATTCAGAAGGCAGAACCTGCTAATAATCAAATTCTCCTCCATCTTTTCTTCCATTCTTCCTTTCCAAAAGCCAATAATGCTTGCATGTTTCATCATTCCTCAGCCCTGAAACTCATGGTCTGACAAGTTACATTCGGTTTCAGCACCACTGTTAAAACTACACAAGCAGGTTTCCTGGGACAGGTGTGGAGATGCATTACCTTAGACCGGAACAGCAAACCTCATACCCCTCACTGCCACAAAATACATACTGCCCACCTCAGAAAAACAGAAGTGATTTTCAGAACAGCTGAACAGCAACAGCTCCCATGCTGGGGTGTCACTGCTCCAGTTTTCCTGCAGAACAGGGCATCCAGAAAAGACCAGCAGTCCTTCCTGCCTGGCTTGCTTCCTCCCTCCCACTGCTGAGGCTGAACTTACCTCGCACCCCTGCACCACGGCAATCGCACACTGTGTGACACAAAGAAGACACACCTGAATTGCAGAGAGAGTCACAGGCTGACTATACCTGACTGTGAAGGCTTGATTCTCAGGAAAATAATAGTATTCATGTAATTACTCTGACTAGATACGAGAGTACAGTTGGGGCTTTCTAACCATCACACATTTCAAACATGTTTGATACACCTCTCAGAAAGCTACCCTATAGCTGAATAAACAGTTCAGAAACACATTACTGTGAAATGTTTCTAGAAGCAATTTCAAACAGCAACAATAGTTTCTTCACAACACATTACTCTAAAAGCTCCTCCTTCATCTCAGCACATTTACACAACACATGTAAACGTGTGCCAATACAGAGGATCACCAAAATAATATCCACTAATCCTTGGAAGCATATCCAGCCAAAATCAAATCATTTCTCTCTACAGCATTTAAAAGTTCCAGCACAGATGGATCAGAGTCCCTCATATGACCGTGTATTTAGATACCAGTAAATCAGTACAGTTCACTGTGTGCTTTTCTGACAACAAACCTATTTTTTTCAGATTATGCACTAACAATCCATTAAAATAAAAGAGATTAATAATAAGCCTTTAATAAAATGGTTATGCCAAAATCAGCATTTCAGATGCAAATCTATTTCAGATGCAAATCTATTTTCAGTTCCAAGAAGGAACTCAAATATAAGAGGATGACTTAGTACGTATCTAAAGCACCTGTGAGTTGTCCAACTGATAACACGGGAGTTTAATTTTCACTACTCAAACACAGCCATCCTCCAAACCTGCTCTCCCAGTTTTGTTCACTGAGGACATTTTTTCTTTAAACATCCAGTGATTGTAATAACCCACCTACATTAAAAAACACATATTCCACTGCAGCAGGGCCTGCCTAAACCCAATTTTTGTGTAGCTTTACAGCAGGCACCCGTCAGAGCCCCTGGCAGCGACATGAGGCGGGTACGGAGGGGCTCCCGGCGCTGCCGGGCTGAGCCGCACTGTACACCC